ATCTGATGATTTCGTCTTTTATTCTCTTTAGACAGGTCTTCAGCTCTTTAGATACATGAATAGTGTTCTTTTAAGTAGGTTTTTTTATTTTTATTGATTTTTGATTTTTTTACTAGTTTCTTTTATTTAGGTTTTTCAGACACGTGATAATTTGGATTTAATTAATATATTTCTTTTGATGAAACATTTTTGTAAGCTTGATTTTTTGTTGAATTTTCTAGAGTATATTCAGTGGATTTCTTATTTACCTTTATTTTGACGAAACTTACTAATGTTGTGTTTATTCTTTTTTATATATGGCTTAACTCTTCAACTATTTAAAGGCATTTCAGTTTTTTAGGTGGATTCTTCTTTGGGGACTTTGAATGTGCAGATTATGGTGTGATTTTTTTATTTGCTTAAACTTCTTAACAGTTAATTATGCTAACCTATTAACAATTTCATTTTTATTCTTTTTTAGATGGATCTTCTGTTCTTTGGATGTTTAAATGCAGAATTTCGGTAATATATTTTTTATTTAGGTTATTTACTTTAACAAATGGATACTAACTTTCTTTTTCCTTTTTTTTAGATAACTGGCTCTTCGGTCTTTTTGAATGTCTTTGGACGCGAATTTTGTAAGTTATTAACTTTTTTTTCTTTATTTTTCTTCTAACGAATAGTCACTAATATTTATCATTTATCATCTTTCTTTTTTCAGATGGTTGGTTTCAGACACATGGAAAACTCAGTGGGATTCTGTTCCTAATTATGCATTTCAACAAAGCATTTTACCAACGTTACAATAATTTTCTCTTTTTTATATGGTCTAAGTCTCTGAATGTTTAGTGATCTGGTAGAAAAAGGAGTTTGAGGTTAGAGGTCATAAGCTATCCCACCAGCTGGCAAAGTGTATGAAATTTCTTTTAATTCATCACAAAGAAAGCCTTGCTAAAGTCATCTTTAGTGTAGGTCTAGTAATACATTGCCTTAATTGAGCGTGGCTACGAAGTTTATGATTCTTAAACAGAATTTATGCATAATTTATTTTACTATTTAAATTACAATGCATGTATATACATATATATATTAATAAATTAATAATATAATGATTTATAATGTTAATAGTATTAAATCAATTATATTTATACTGTATTTTTTTATGATATACACAAAATTTACATAAAATTCATAGCACATTTATAAAAATACCATAAATTTAAATGACATGTAAAGTGATTTTATTGCAATTTAAAACACATTTATATAACAGAAATTTGTTAGTTTCAAGAGACATGTATACTTCATGGAAATTGGACAAGTTTACAACTAATTTCCGTAATATACATTTTAATCAGATTAAATTGAAATTACTGGTAAACCAATATGAAATGCGACATGTGCACAAAATTTCTCTAATGCAAATGTATTGCACATCACCTCACTTCGACCAGTGAAGATTAACTAAATCATCAACTACAATACCTAAATCTTCCTCAAAAATAATTTCATTAATATATTGAGTTGTAGGTTGTTTTTCCTTTATGTCAGTTTTATAAAAATCTTGAATAATTTGAGATAATGAAATTTGAGTATTTGATAAATCAACATTTATATTTGTATTCGAATTAAGTTGTTTATTAGACATCATAAAGTATTAATTTTAAATAAGAGGTGAAGAACAATATTACAATAGTATATTTTTTTTCACAACATATTTATTTAAATGTATGGTGACACTGCAGTTAAATTACGTAGATCATCCTTTTGTGTATGTGTAGTTTTATTTGTAAATCAAAGTGTCGATTTTATTATAACTAAAAAATTTGTTAAAAATTCATATTATTATTACAAAGGAATGACATTCAATAATTAATATTTAATTTTTATAAAATCACTACTCACTAAAATCTAGTTTATTTAAATTTTTACATATTATAAAAACTTTCAGAAGAAAGGAAAAGTCTACCATTTATCTGACATAAAGTTAATAACTACAGTAAAACAAAATACTGTAGTTACAGTATCTACTAAATAAACAACTATTAAATTTATTATTTTTATGAGAATTCTTCCAATTTAATTTGAGCACTACAAAATCCTTGTCCAGCTGATTTTTTATACCAATAAATCGCTTGTTCTATATTTTTTACAACCCCATTTCCATCTTCATACATTAAACCAAGATTATATTGAGCACAAGAATTTCCCAAATTTGCTGCTATTTGATATAATTCAAATGCCTTTTGCATATTTACTTTTGTACCAACTCCATGATTATGACAATATCCTAACATAGAAATTGCATTCAGATGTCCTTTTTCAGCAGACATTTCAAGAAGTTCAAAAGATTTATTATAATTTATTCCAATACCTTCTCCATCACTATACATATATGCAAGATTATACAGTGCTAAACAATTACCTAAATTTGCTGCATTTTGATATAATTCAAATGCTTTTTCCTTATCAACATCAGTTCCAATTCCAATATCATAACAATAACCTAACAGATTTATTCCCCCTGAGTATCCCTTTTTTGCCAATTTTTTAGATAATTCAAAAGCTTTATCATAATTTTTATCAACATCCTCTCCCTCAATATATACATTAGCAAGGTTAAACAGAGCTATATTATTTTCTAATTTTGCTGCTTTTTGATATAATTCAAGTGCTTTTTGTATATTGATATTAATTTCAATTCCATGATAATTAAAATATCCAAGTAAATAAATGGAATTTGAATCATTTTGATTATTTAAAAGCCAGTTATAGAATTCATGTAAATCTAACTTATGATTATTAATATAATCAATGACATGTTGTTTTATTACAATTTCTTCCTTTCCTTCATTTTCTTCCTTAAGACAAAGATTAACCAAATCATCCACTACAATACCTAAATCTTCTTCAAGAATAATTTCTTTAATATTTTGAGTTGTAGGTTCTTTTTCCTTTATATCTATTTTATAGAAATTTTGAATAATTTGAGATAATAAAATTTGAGTATTTGATGAATCAAAATTATTTGAATTTGAATTATCAGACATTATAAAGCAATGATTTTAAATAAGGGGGAAGAACAATAGTATATTTTTTTCACAACATATTTATTTAACTGTATGGTGACACTGCAGTTAAATTACGTAGATCATCCTTTTGTGCTTCCGCCATTGTATTTTTATTTGTAGGTCAAGTGTCAATCTTATTATAACGTATAAAATGCTATTATTACAAAGGAATAACATTCAATATTAAATTAATATTTAATTCACTATTCACTAAAATATAGTGAGCTTATTTAAATTTTTACATATTATAAAAAACTTTTTCAGAAGAAAGGAAAAGTCTACCATTTATCTGACATAAAGTACATAAAGTTAATAACTATAGTAAAAAAAATACTGTAGCTACAGTATCTACTAAATAAACTATTAAATTTATTATTTTTATGAAAATTCTTCCAATTAATTTGAGCACTATAAAATCTTGTCCAGACAATAAATTGCTTGTTCTATACTTTTTATAATCCCATTTCCATCTTCATACATTAAACCAAGATTATATTGAGCACAATAATTTCCCAATTTGCTGCCATTTTATATAGTAATTCCAATGCCTTTTGCATATTTACTTTTATACCAACTCCATGATTATAACAATATCACATAAAAATTGCATTAAGATGTTCTTTTCCAGACTTTTCAAGAAGTTCAAAAGATTTACTATAATTTACTCCAATACCTTTTCCATTATCATCAGGAGTTTAAATAGGGTGTGAATTTGCAAAAATATACACATATAAAACAACACGTTGAATCACACCTATGACGGGTATATATGAAGCTGCAAATTTGCGAATATTAACACAAAGATAAGATTTTCTGGCAATTTTTATCTTTAATGGGAAAATTTTTTAGTCGATCATCTCATTTTGGCCAGATTTTTGCCAAAATTTTCCCATTCCATTTTTAAAAATCACCACATGCACAGTTGCCGTGGATACAAAAAAAATTGCCTTTTTGGTAAAAAAGTCTTCAGTTAATCTTTTATATTATTATTGTCATGTACATGTACATGTTCATGTTCATGTTCATGTTCATGTTATTGTTTATGACATGTACATGTTAATGTTAATGAACACATTCTAAGAGCAATTTTTCGCAAAACTTTCTCCTGTGTTACTGAAAACTACTATTAACTAAGGAGATCACAAGTTAATTACATAATTTTGTCAATCCAAATTAGACTTTACACACGAAAAATTTTTCATTATTTTTAGCTTATTTATTTGTCTAAAATAATTTATCTAAACTAATAAAATATACACATTAAAAAAAAAAAGTTATTTTCTCTCTAATTTCTATTTTTTTTTTTCTTTTTTTTCTTTTTTACAAAAAATATAAATTCACCAATAAAAATAGTGGCGCAGTTATAATATTAAAAAAAAATCTAAAATTATACGTCATTAAAGTAATGGCATAGTTGTAATAATGATTTTATATCAAAAAATCTAAAATTATACAAATTAAATAATAAATTAGGAAAGTGCGTATTTAATTATTTCTTTTTTAAACAAACTGAAACGCTAATTCACATATATGGATAACTGCCAGATGGAATGTCTTTTCTCCTTATTTTAACCAGTGTGAATTTTCAAAAACTCATTTCTTCTCTCTTTCGCTAACGAAGAAATTTCAAATAAAAATAATGACATCAACACTATCGGTAATTGCTCTTGTCATCCGGTTGAGATCAACAACCCATACTGTAAACGGAGACGCCCTGTACAGGAAAAAAATATCAAACCAGACTCACACTTTCACCTTCAAACAGTTCATTAATGCTCGTCACGAATATAATGAGCAGTTCAGAGAGGGAGATTTAGTTCTTTTCGGTGGGAAGTTTACGCTAGATGAAAAAAATTAATGGTCAGTAACATTGCATTTTTTGTAGCTAAAACAACCATAAAAATTAAAAAAAATACTTATTTTTTTGCGTGTGGGTAGCTTGTCGTCGAGATGGTTTGTGTAATGGATCCGAAAGTAGGGCCAAACGGTGAAAATCTGAAGTGGGAACCGACGCAAATTCCTTCAACGAAGCTATTTGTAAATATCTCAACGTCTGCAGAAGAGCCCTTAACTTCTTACGAGGATATGAATTTTGTTAAGACCCGNGCTAATTCACATATATGGATAACTGCCAGATGGAATGTCTTTTCTCCTTATTTTAACCAGTGTGAATTTTCAAAAACTCATTTCTTCTCTCTTTCGCTAACGAAGAAATTTCAAATAAAAATAATGATATCAACACTATCGGTAATTGCTCTTGTCATCTGGTTGAGATCAACAACCTATACTGTAAACGGAGATGCACTGTACAGGGAAAAAATATCAAACCAGACTCACACTTTCACCTTCAAACAGTTTGTTAATGCTTATCACGAATATAATGAGCAGTTCAGAGAGGGAGATTTAGTTCTTTTCAGTGGGAAGTTTACGCTAGATGAAAAAAAATTAATGGTCAGTAACATTGCATTTTTTGTAGCTAAAACAACCATAAAAATTAAAAAAAATACTTATTTTTTTGCGTGTGGGTAGCTTGTCATCGAGATGGCTTGTGTAATGGATCCGAAAGTAGGGCCAAACAGTGAAAATCTGAAGTGGGAACTGACGCAAATTCCTTCAATGAAGCCGTTCGTAAAAATCTCAACGTCCGCAGAAGAGCCCTTAACTTTTTACGAGGATATGAATTTTGTTAAGACTAGGGATAGGAATCGATTCTAAAATTGAGAATCGATTCTAGAATCGACTAATCGCGATTAATCGTTTCTCAAGATTCGATTCGTAGATTCGATTTTCAGTTTCAATTAACTGATTCTAATCGATTTTCTGCATCATAAAAATATGATTTGTGGCGCTGTAAGTCATCACATATCTTCTATTTATTATTATTATTATTATTTTATAACTCTTTATTAGTATTATAGTCATCCAAAATACAAATACAACTAGTCCCACTAATAATTATCCTATCTAAAAACAACCTAAATCTAAACTCCTACCCTATAATGATAATAAAACAACCAAAATAAAAAAATTATTTAATTAATCACATGACACCCTCCGATCAATTTTCTTTTACCATTAACGTTAAGATTTTTGAAAAAGAAAATATTTCTATTTACAACTACGGAGAGAAAAAGACTTTACAAACAAAATACACTAATAATTTTACCCCTCAATCATCCTTGCCCTAATGTATTAAATTTATACCTGTCTGGACAATCCTCGCTAAAGATAATTCTTTTGCTTTTATCATCAGTATTTAAACGATCCCTATACAATTTGTTATTTTTATTTATCATCAAATATTATTAATTATTTATTTTAAAGATATTTATTTATTTTATTTATTTATCAAGAATACATAATACAAAAAAATGTCATTGTTAAAAATATATATCAGATATGTTTTTGTCAAAACAAAAAACAATAAAAATTATAAATTTTGAAAAAATATTTGTCAAAAAAATAAAACTGAAGCTTACTCAGCTTCCCTAAATATATCAACATAGTTTCTATTTCTTTTTAAAAACATAAGCTGGTTGATTAAAAATGAATATAAACGAGTTCTTTGAGGAGTAATCAAATTTTTAGCATCTGAAAAGAGCCTTTCTGAAGTAACTGAAGTAGCTGGTATAGAAAGGTATTTCATTGCTATTTGATGTAAAATTGGATATTGATTTTTATTTGTAGACCACCATGAAAAGGAATCATATTCTTCAAGAGCAGGTAACTCTGTCACATTGAGATAATGCTGAAATTTGTCCTTTATTGGTGCAGTAATTTTAGCATTTTTCTTTTTCCAAAAATTTCCCATTGTTGTTGATTCATTTGTATCATTATGATCAGGCAATCTAGCTGTGTTATCTTGTTTGAGAATCTCATATTCTTCTTTTAATTGATTAATAATTTGATTACATGTTTCTTGAGAATTAATGAAATCTAAACTTTTAAAACGAGGGTCAAAAAATGATCCCTTTAAGCACAAAATTTGAGGAAAATCCCATCTTGCTATTATATTTTCTAAAATAGCATTTTGATACTCTGATGCCTCACTAGTTTCCAATAAATTAAACTCAGTTTCAAGTCTTTCTCTTAAATTATACATAATTGGATATGTAAATCCAATTGTTGGATAATTTATGCCACTTAATAAACGTGTTGCTTCTTCAAAAGGGTTTAATAATTCTACTATTTTTCTAATTACTTTCCATTCATAAATTGTTGGACACAATACTTCTAGTTTTTCACCTTCTTTACGAGTAATTGAATTTGTATTACTCATTAATGAGGCTTTTAGCATTTGAATTGCTGGTTTAAGAATGATAAGTCTTTAAAAAGCATATAAAGTTGAATTCCATCTGGTATTATTTGCTTTTATCACATCAAGACAAATAATATTTTCTGCTTTTCCTTTTAAATCTTTATCTTCAGTTTCCTGCATTGCTTGTTGTCGATACAAATAAATTTGTGATTCTTTCAATTGCTGCTTTTTCTTATCTGCTGATAAAAAACTAATAAGATGTTTACATTTCCCAATTAATTCCTTTATAATATCTAATCCTTTTCCAATACTTAATTGGAGGGTATGAGCAGCACATGGAATTCTTTTACCAATACTTATATTATTACATGCTTTTCTTACATTGGAGCCATTGTCAGTTACAATAGCAATAATTTTTGAATCAATTCCCCATTCATAAAATAAATCAAACAAATGTTCTTGTATTTCAATCGCACCATGTAGATTAGGGATGGCAACGGTCACGGTCATTAACCGGTTATGACCAGTCATGACCGTGACTGATATCGGTCGGTCAAAGACCTCTGACCGACCGTTTGACCGACCATTTGACCGACCATTTTTAACCGTTTAACCGACCATTTGACTAATTATTTAAGTAAAATGGTATAACCGACCGTTTAACTGACCGTTTAACCGACCGTTTAACCGATTTTTTAACCGACCATAACCGACTGTTTAAATTTCTATAACTGATTATAACCGACCATAACCGACTATAACCGACCGTTGCCATCCCTAACCATGACCGACCGTTGCCATCCCTAATGTGGATATGGCAACTCCTCCATACTGAGAAGTACTTCTTGTGGTTCAAATTTTGATGTCAGCCAGTGTGCTGTAATACCTAAATAAAGTAAATGTGCTGGTGAACTCCAGGCATCTAATGTTAAAGAAATATCCTGAACTTGCATAAACTGACTTTTAAGTGTATTTTTTCCTATTTCATATGCTGTAAAAATTTGATCCTTAAGAGTTTTTATACATGGAACTTTATAGCGTTCAACAAATCCATTTATCATATTAATAAAATCTGGATCTTCTACTATACTTAGGGGTTGTACTGTACCAATAACAAAACCTATGACATTTTTAGTTAAAGATTCTTGTTTAGAAGAATCATGCGGGTTAATAATATTATCAGGTTTCTTAAGATTTTCTAATTCTTCTTCCTCATATCTCATTGCAATAGCTTTTGTAATTTTATGCATTCCTGATAAATGTGTTTTCATTGAACTTGGAGAACCACACCATGCAAGCATTTTTTCACAACCATTAATCTGACAAATAGTTTTAGTATTATTATCATTAAATTGAAAAAATTTCCAAACCCAGCTAGTTTTAGGTTTCGTGATTTTAGATGGAGGCTTTCTTTCTTTCATTAATAAAGAATGTTTATTGACTTCTACTTCATCATTAATAATTATATTAAGGTCTGATATAGATGCATCAGATATTGTGTTATCATTAATTTCTTGTATTGTTATAAAACTTTTCCCTAATAAAATTTCTGACTCATATAAATAACTAGAATCATTTTCACTTTCATCTGCAATTTCTTGTACTGAACTTCTTTCTTTTGCTGCTGCTTCTTCTGCTTCTTTAAGTATTTGCTTATGTTTATTTCTTGTAGTGGTCGCCATTTTTAATAGTTTAAAATGGGTAAATATTTATGTGAATGTTTAATATTTTATTTAATATTTATTAATTAATAAATTGGTAAATTATATAATATAATATTAATGATGGTATTGTTACCAGTAAATTTGGTAAGCTAATGATTAAATATATTGTTTTGATATTATAATTATATAAGGATTAACGAAAATTGATGAGGCTGTTTGTTGGGCACAGGAAGAACAATTAATAATAATTATTAGAAAAATCTAGGATGATTTTCTTGTAATTTTAACAAAGAGCAAAGTGTCTATATATAAAAAAATTCCATCTTTTTTTCAATAAATATTCAGAAGTAAAATCTAATCTCAAATCTATTCTAATGTATCACAGTTATTAATTAATTATTAATTAATTTTGTGCAATAGCAGTTATTTTCATTGTCAAATCAAATAAAGTAAATTAATACCATTGAATTAATCAACTCAATAATATTTATAATCATTATAAAGAAATCCATATAAAGAAAATAAATATATAAATAATAATTTATTAAATAATCATATAATAACTAAAATAAGAAATTAAATAAAATAAATCCGATCATAACATGTTGATCATTCAACCAAAATTTGCTTCGGAATATCAGCAATTTCATTGTATATCGGATTTAGCTAAATTTGCGTAACAGTAAAATAATCAGCCAAATCACATGGTTAATTTTAAAGAAACTAATGGCAATGATCTGCAACAATTACAATAGATTCGATTTTTTTATGTGATTTTCAATTAATCGATTTTGAATCGAGTTTCGATTAATTCGATTATCGCAGATTCGATACCTATCCCTAGTTAAGACCCATTCGTTAATCTATTTACCATTTCACCAAACCACTCGCTATATTAATTTCAAGGTAGGTTACTCAAAAGACGTGAGATGGTTAGATTCTCTCAATGACAAGTGGAATGATTACGCCAATTTTTTCGTTGGTGGCTTTCTCGAAGTTATCTATTCAATAAATGATAGGACATATGCCCAAATTGACGCTAAGCTAATTGATTACGATGTAAGGTTTCGCCATCTGAATCACCAAACTTCTATAACAACAACTCCAAGGAAACAAGTTAATACATTTGCACTGAGAAGAAATGAATCGGCTTCAAAATCTGTTTTTAGCCCAAGAACAAGTTTGATAATTATAGATGATACACAAGAATTTGACGACTCTAACAAGAGAAATTTGATCATTATTGATGATGATGAATCAGCCATCCAACCTACTACTGATAACGATGAACTATCCAAGTTCGTCTCTTATTACAAAAAATTTAAAGAATCTGAGAAGCAAGATCAATCATCAAGAACGACCTCTTCTACAACTCATTCATCTCCCACTCCTACCTATAGATTACAAAAACGCAAATTATCGGATTTATGTAATTTAGAAGAATCCGATAATGATCCTGATAACGATCCTAATGATCTTGCTAACAATCCTGCGATCCTGGTAATGATCCTGGTAATGATCCTAGTAACGATCCTGGTAATGATCCTGGTAACGATCCTGGTAATAATCCTTTCAGATTAGAATGTACATATTATAGAAAAGGAAGTGGTAGAGGCGGGAGAGGCGGAAGAGGCGGAAGTGGTGGAAGAGGTCAAAAGGCCAAAAAATAAAGCTTCCATTAATCACAATTAAGGTTGCTTGTCTAAACCTCTTCAAAATCCTACGATTAGTTTCGTCAAAATTTTACTATAGATTTATTATAGTTTCGGCAGAGTTTCGGCAGTATCAGCATTTATAATAAGTTTCAGCAGTTTCGCAATTCTCCAAAATTTCACCAGTTTTTTAATATAACTTTAATATAGTTTCAGCAGAATTTCGCTTTTCGGTGAAACGCCATCTTGCCTAAACCCCTAGGTTTCGGCAAGCAACCTTAATCACAATACTGCTATTTTGCGTAAAAAATTCCATTATCTCTAATAAACCTATATGATATTACTAGCGTTCTAAAAAAATAATAATAATTTTTTCGAAATTTCTTTTTTTCTCTAAAAAAAATAATAAATTTTTTCGAAATTTCTTTTTTTCTCTACAAAAAATAATAAAATTTTTTTCCTTTTTTTTTTTCTGAAAAAAATATCGAAAATAAAAATCTAAATAGTTAAAATCTGATTATTCAGCAAATATTATGTTATAATGGCACAGCCAAATTATGTCATCATTATCTAATTTCATTTGGCTGCGCCATCATTACTATATTATTAATTGATTTTTTGGCTGCGCTATCGTTACTTCATTATTTTTCGGCTGCGCTATTGTTACTTCATTATTATCTAATTTTTTTGGCTGCGCCATCATTACATCATTATTTAAGCTTCGCCATTATTCTCTAATTTCACTTGGTTTTATTATTTATAATAATAAAATAAATAAATTTCTACGCACAATTTATAATAAAAAAAAAAAAATTTCTACTCAATAAACTGAAAAAAAAGAACTGAGGTAAATTACTCTTTAGGATGCTTTTGTTTATTGTGGCAAACCCATTCGTGACGCTAGCAATGCCCAGCCTTTGACGCAGTCTTGGTCCTTTTGTGGCATGTAGAGCAGTGGTGGATGGACGGAAATATGACTGCCATGGTTTAGAACGTTCGGGTATATAGTAAATCAGTATAGTATGATTCATAAATTTAGTATGTATGATAAGACAAATTACCATACTAAGATAATATACATGAATATTATACTATGTGACACAATAAATATTATACTAAAATATTTTATATGATACAATGAAACACGTGCAATAAACAATAACATCAGATATAACCTCTCTATTGTGGCTTATAATTACATGAAAAAATTTTTTTCTCTATGGGCAAAAAATATTTCTATCCAAAATAATAAAAATGAGTGAGAAAATAGATCTTTCAGATATAAAAAAACTTGATATTAATTATATTGAGTTAGATCCTGTAAGTAAAATATGTGAGGCTAATTTTTTAATTTAATAAATTAATTTTCTTTTGGATTTCTTAAAGGAATATCAAGTTGAAAGTGATAGTAATACTATTGAAAGTGATAAAGATACTGATATAAGCGATGAAGAAGAAGACTCAATTGCAATATTTTCAAGAAAGACACATGTACAAGAAATTCATTATGCCACTGTACC